TTGTAATAGTAACCAATGAGTACTTCTTTCTTTCCCTCCCCCCTCCCCCCCCCCCCCCTCCCTCCCTCGCTCCCTCTTTCTTTTTCTCTCTCTCTCTCTCCCTCTCCCTCCCTCCTCTCCCTCTCTCCCTCTCTCTCCCTTCCTCTCCTCCCTCCCTCCCTCCCTCTCTTTTTCTCTCTCCCTTCTCTCCCTCCCTCTCTCCCTCCCTCTTCTTTCCTTCTTCTTCTTTTCTCTCTCTCTCTCTCTTCTCTCTCTCTCTCTCTCTCTCTCTCTCTCTCTTTCTCTCTCTCTCTTGGATCGTAACATCGGCGTCGCCCTCTGCGGTAACAGCGTTCGCTGCGGGCCCATCGGATAATTTCTAAGCCAGTCTACGTCACTGTCGCACGCTGGCACTCACGCAGTGTGCCCCACCTACCCCATCTACGTGTAGCCTGGCCTACGGCTGGCTGCTAACATTGGACTTGCCGGAGCCCAAACCATGCCTTTGCCGCTAAACAAAATTGGACCCGTCGAAAAATAGTTTTATTTCAATATGTCAAAGACTGCTGGGTTAACGTTTTATCCATTTGGTATCTCTAAGCTGCTTTTCATTATCTCTAACGCTGTATAGCTGTAATAATTCGGCAGATGTGGCGTTAACACACCAAGCGCAAGGCGTGTATCGCATAACAAGACTTTCAGTATGTCATTGTTTTAGTCTATGTTTTCATGGTTTTAATGGTTTTAATGGCGTTACAACCAAAGACAGCTTGGAGAAGTTTAAAATTTCCAGTTGTCTTTTGTTTGTTGGGGTTGAGAAAACCTATCTTTAGAAGCACCAACTTCTACCAATCATATTACAAATAAGCAATAGCTTGTATTGGACTTATTGACTGCAATGCGCCGCGCTCACAGCTCACAGGTGAAAGTGTAATCCCTTGAAACTGGAGTTTTAGTAGAAACGATCATCTCAATTCGTCGTCAATCCGAGCTTCTTGGGTTTGGCTGATACCTCCACTTAAGTTTCTATCCGCCAGAGCCGAGCATGAATTTGGCAGGCATGCGCTCTATTTGCTCTCAAACCTCCCACAAGCCGTTGACCCAGCTTAGGCGGCGCACGAACTCAGATGTAAGCTTTTGAGGTCGGCTCAGCCCATCACGAACACTGCTGGAAGGCAGTATCTCCGCATGATAGGTTGTCGTTCAATGTGCCTCCAACTGGGTGGGTAACCTATCGGTTCTCACAATTCAGAACCCGTCACAGCACCAACTGTGTGCTAGTGCGAAAGGAACGGACCATCTGGCCACGGCCAGGGGTTACGAGCTGACAGTATCAGCGGGCCATTGCTGACGTCACGAGCTGACAGATCAGCCACAGCGCCCGATCGTCGGCTATTGGGGTATGCACTCCGGCACGTGAAATGTAACTATGTAGACTTGCGCACCTGCACTTGCACTTGCACTTGCTCACTGTGGACTGGAAAGTCAGGGGACTGGAGGGCGGAGTCTGTGGACTGGATGATCGGACGTGCGACAGAGCGAGGCCGATTCCTGATACGCAAGACTTCTGTACCGGCACTCGGTGGTGCTTGCTGCTGGAGTGGTGCCGGGCCTGAGACTACAGCCACTCGCCGGTACCAGGACATGCCGACTGCATTGCGAAAGACAGTACCAGTCACGGCACGATCCACGTTTCCGGTTCGGAATCTGGTTCACACGCATCGGCGTGGTGAGAGTACTAGACCTGCGCCAGGTCGACTCAGAGCAGCGTGGTGGCACAGGGCGGGTTCGGCGGCCGGAGCGGTGGACGCGTCGGAGGGGGCCCGCGTGGTGCCGCCTGCCGCCGCTTGGCCGCCTGACGCAACGGCCCGTGCGGCGGCCGCGGCCGTCCCCTGCCCCGCCGCCTGACCCCGCCGGCTTGTGCAACCCGATTGACGTCAGCGCCGAGCACAGAGCAGGCCGGGGTGCGCGGCGGAGGCGTCCCGCCGGCCCGGCGCCTCCTGGAGACGGTCTGCGGCCCGGCGGCGGCGCTGGCCCCGTGCGGCGAGGACCGCGGCGCCGGGCCCTCGCCGGCTCGCCGCGCGGGTGGCACCGAGAGCTGGCCTCAGGGTCGTGCCCGTCCGTCCGGAGCAGAGGCCGTCCAGGGCACGGCCAGGGACGGCCAGCGCCGGCGGTGCCCGCCCCGGGCGCCGGTGACGGCAGTTTGCAGCCGAGGAGAATCCCGTGGGCCGATCTTCGCACCGGCTGTCCGTAGCGTTCATGGCTTACGACTCCGGCGCGGCGGACCAGCGGGCGCCGCCTCAGCGCCTCGCGAGGTCTGAACAGCCGACATCGCCGGGACGCCGGGCCCGAGCGTTGACCGCGCCGGCCTTAGCTGTCGCACGGCGGCCAGTGCCCCGCCAGCCCAGTGAGACCGAGGTCGGTGTGACCTGAACACTGCAGTACGTCGCCAGCACCGGATATGGTGCACTTGAACGCCGTGCGCCATGGCCGCCTCATCTGGCACCGCTTCAAGAGACGCTTCCTGCCTCCGCGCCAGCCCTGCCAAGCACTGGCGCAATCTTCTATTGGATTGTTTCTTTCAGTGCCGGAAAATCTTGGCTCCGGTCGAATGCGGCTGTCGCCGTCCGTGCGTCTGACAGTCCCGAACGGCCGGCAGCTCGTTCAGTGCCGACGATCGATGACACCTCATGTTGCCATCACCTCTGCGGAGGTGGAGTTCATGTTTCGGCACGTTTTTGTCGCCCTCTCTGGATGCGTTTTCCGGAAGAGGGAACATATGATCGCATCTGCACTCACGTCCCAGTCACTGTTTTGGCTCGACGGCGGACCGGATGGACGGCCAGGAGGTACCTGGTACTGATGAGTCACAGCCTGCTCTTGGCCCAGGCCGCGGGAATATGCGACGGGCTTGTCCTACCATTCCGATGCGTGACTGGTGGAGCTACCGTGGGTCGGCCCGTCAAGGCCGAGGGGGACCGTTACGGCGGCCGGCCGGGAAGACCAGCGCACCTGGCCCGGCCCACTGGGATTGGGGCTGTCCCAGCCCCCGTAGCCGCCGCCGGGCAGCCGCCGACCGCTCGTCGCGCCGCTGACAGCGCAGGCAGCAAGTGGCACGACGTGACACGTCAGCTTGTAACACTTTCGGCCTGGGAAAGCAGCGGCTGTAGGTCCGGTGCGATCCAGCGACTCGGCTCAGGTGCCGGTCTCACCCGCGGCACGCACGCCGCCCTGAGTCCGGCGGCCGGTCCAGCCGCTTGGCCGTGCGCTGAGTCAGTCGCGTGGGTGTGGCTGGGCCCACAGCCGCCGCCTGACTCAGCGCGCCCCATGGAGGCCCGGTTGCATCATCTGGCGCGTACTCCGCCGCTGTCAGGCTGGGCGCCAAACGGACGGCAGCGCCCCGGCTGCTCGGCCGGAGCGGGTCGCCGCCGCCACCGGGCTCCGCCGCGCCAGGCGCCCGCTCCACTGTCACGGAGTCCGCGCCAGCTCGTGACGCACCGCCGTCACCGCGGCCGATCACGTGACTCACATCGGCCGGCCGCCGGGCTCGGGGCGGCCATCGCCGGAGCCGTGACCGGCCTCGTCCGCGGCGCCGCCGCCGGAGCCGCTTCGTGCCGTAACGCCGCCTGTTTGCCCTTGGAGCCTGTCAGTCCCGAAAATAGCCCGTGCGGCCGGCCGGCCGGACCGGCGCCGTTACGTAAGCGCGCCGGTCACGGCTGCTGCAGGGGCGGCGCGCGGCGGCCCGATGTCCAGCCATCGCTCGCCCGCAACGCAGCCGACGCAGCGGAGGTCGATTGGCGCCGCGGCGTGCTCACGTGTCCGGCGGCCTGCACACACGTGAGCGGATGGCCTCACGTGACGCGGGGGTGCCTGACCTTCCATGGTCGGCCGACGCGGCACGTGCTCCGCCCCACGCTGACCGTGGCAGACGTGTAGCCTGGCTAGTTCCGCTCTGGCCGGAAGGTTGCACTCTGTGAACTCCCGCCCGCGCCGCCCGCGACCTTTAGAGAAAGGCGCCGTGCTCTCGGAATACGTGCCGAGGGAGTTCCACAGCCGTCCGCTATTCCTGGATTGCCGTGGGCTCGGGTGGGGCGCCGGGCCGGAGCGGTGAACACGGTTGACGGCGCCGCTTCCGACGGTTGCATAACGCTGGCTGGCCTGAGCCCCTCTGGAGCCAGGCCGCCCCGGATCCCTCCCGATTACCAGATAGCGTCCACACTCATCACGCTGGCGCGTGATCTCTTCCCGTTTCTTTGTTTGGCACGAGTTGGACTTGGACCTGCGGACCCGATCGATACCTGCAGCGTCGCACAATGCTGCATGATGCAATGGCCGGTGACCAGTGGGTCAGCTCACCGGTGTGCCCGTCTCCCGCGGCCTCCTCGAGCTCACCTGTGCGCCCGTCTCCTGCCGCCGTCTCCGGCGCTTTGCCATCGGCGCAGGAGCGGCGCATAGCGCGTCGAATGCACGCGCGGAGCGTACCGCCGCGCGCTGGTACGCCGGTGCAGAGCGTGCCTTTTGCAGTCGGGTACGGAACACCTTGACGCCGCGGCTTGTTTACGTAACGGTGACGTCACGCGTCTGGCGGCGTTGGTGCAGTCCGGTGGGCCGATGTGGTCTATGACAGGGCTTCACATGGACATGCGGCGACGTCTCCGGCGCGGGCATCCGGAAATGATTCACCCCTACGATTATACTGCTCGTGTTTATGAGTCATTGTATTGCGACGCCACCGAGTCATTCGTGGCTTGCCTGGAACAAGGCATTGTGACTTGGGAACTTTTATTGCATTTGGTATTTCCGGAAGCACATTTAGTGCCTTACCACATAATCATCGGGTTTTCAGAGTATAACGTGACTGGTCACTCTGCGATCGACGTACAGTATGCAAGCACACGCCCCACACGACCGCTGGCGCACACCCGCATGGTACTCATGTCAACACGGAAAACCAGGCGAACAAAATCGACGCGGTGACGGCTGTCCCGGGGTGCGGTGATTTCGTTCACTAACATGCTTCTCTTTCTCTTCCAGGCCGTGCACCAGTGATGGTGACGGAGAACATGTACGGACCTATCCAATACGGTGACGTCAAGGTGCAGTACACCCCGGTGCCACCTGGCGGCGGCTATTACTACCCGCCAGTCGGCGTGCCAAAGACCGAAGACGAACCGCCGGCCGCGCCGCTAGAGGCGCTGCCGTCGCTGCGGCGGCAGGACGCAGCGGCCGGGAATCGCAGGCGGCGTGAGTTCACGCAGGACAGCCACAAAGATGACAGCTACTGGGACCGCCGGCGGCGCAACAACGAGGCGGCCAAGCGCAGCCGCGAGAAGCGCCGCTTCAACGACATGATCCTGGAGACGCGCGTGGCGAGCTCACCAAGGACAACTACCTGCTTCGCGCGCACGATCAACACCATCCGAGACAAGTTCGGCATCATCGTGTGAAACCACATTGAGGGAGCAGGTGTTGGCACAGC